AATACGTAGCGTTAATTATAATTGCCTTGCGAAACACGGTACAAGGGGGATCCCCTATGACATATTCGACGTTTCACAAATTTCTGTTTCTTTTTTTCTTTCCCACAGAAAATCATTATCAATGACATTTAATTACTTTTGCTTTCAAAGGCAACATTTCTTATTTTGCATGAAATTTGGACAATGGAACACGTTATAAAACATTTCCAAAAACTTTTTCACTTTTCATTTCAAATTTCGTGAAATTAATCCTTTACTTCTTTTTTCTCCATTTTTTTTTTTTCTTTTCTATAACAAAGTTTCCTATTATATATCCAACATATACATAACGAGTAAATGATAAGAATTTTACATTACTGTTTGAATATTTTCTACTGAATTCGCCGAAACAGTAATACTTTCTAGAAACTCGAACAAACTTTCTTTCAGCTTTTCGGCATCAAGTGATGAAATAGTGAAATTCTTCGAATAAAACTGATCGCCCTGATTTCTTATTCTGCGGGCATTATATTACCACGGATAAACATTGTACACATTATATAAATATATATGTAAATAGAAACATCAAGTTAGTGTCAACTTGGCCATGTGGAGCATTTTTGGTTAGTTTTATAAAGACAATGCATAGTTATACGATTTGTGTAATAAATGAAATCGCATCTATAATATAGGTGAAATTATAAATTATTGCGTGGTAATTGTTAGTGGTGATACATAAAAAAGGATAGGATGCACTTTTTAGGATTAAATTACATAACATTTTGTTTTCATATTAGAGTTCACCAAAAAAAAAAAAAAAGACTATTGTACGAAACGTTAAAAAAGAAAAAGGAATTCGAACTAACGATATGTAAAATTAGTTAAACGTTCAACTCTGCTGGGATGTTGAGAAAAATTGTTCCGAGTACGTGTATATTATTAATGATATAATTTATACGAGGCAAATTTCAGGCACACGTACTTATCTAAAGTTGCGTATTTTTTCTCTTTTTTTTTTTTTCTTTTTGCGATGCAAATGATACCCTGGATTCGAGTGGAACAAAAACATCGGAAATGTCGAAATTATAATACATTAATAATAGTGAAACAGTGAACGTATTTCCTTGGTAGTTTAAACCTTCGCATCGTATCGTAGTACCACCCCTGTCTTCTTGTCATTCGAAATAAGAAAAACTACTATTTCTGTACTTTGCATAAATATTTATTTTTGTAAAACACGTGCACGACACGCTTTGTACACGCACAAAGTGGCAGACGAAATGGAATGAATAAGTGTTCCACAGGCACAAGTTGCCAAGAGCAAAATTGATCATATTGAATTTCTAGCATATATTTGTGATATGTTTAGAGAAAAAAAAATAATTACATACATACGTTGGAGGTAGATATGTGCAAATATTAGACCATATTGTAGTAACGTCGCTTTTTCGAATTTACTGCATTTCAACAATATTTGCTCGTCTTAAGAATTGCATTCATTTCTTTCTTTTTTTTTTTTCCTCCTTTTCTTCCATGTTTACTCTTGTTTGTTTATTTGTTTATTTTCTTTTTTGAAATTTGTGTGTACTCTATATATTATTTTGAATTCTTCAACAGTGATAATGGTACTTTTACTTAACTATTGACATACTTGCGATTTAAAAACTTTTCGTTTAACTCTGCATAAGGATACGAGAAGATCGTGTAAAAAAAAAAAAAATGGTTAGGTGCGCACCCATACCATACTGTAGTTTCCTTCATCATTTTACCTTCTTGCGTGATGGTGCAAAAAGGAGAGGAGGGAACGAGAACATTATTTCAAAGACAATTTTAAACGTTACACCTAATTGCGGGGAGTTAAGATTATCCTGAAACTTGAAAACTCCTACAATCGAGAAATGTAATTTCAGTGTAACAAGTAACTTATGTTATATCAATTAAAACTAGACATTTGATAATTTCGTCAATTTGTGCAATTTTTGCGATATTTCCCAAATATTGAGCAGCATCATTATAACTGGAATCTCATCAAAGAAGACTCTATGTAAATAAAAATATTAATTAAGAATATTATGTTACTTATAATAAACTTGTAATTAATTTCATATGGAAAATGAATGATTCGAGTCTTTCACAGAAC